TTTATGGGAACCCAAAGCTAAAAAATGACTAGGTTAGATTTACTCTAGAAATGCAAATTTGATTTAACATTTAAAAATCAATCAATGTAGTTTGCCATACTACTAAATTAAACTAGAAAATCCTAACGCCATCTCAGTGGGTGCTGAAAATATTTGATAAATGTTCACATCCCTTCAGCTTAAAACCATCAGCAGAAAATATGAATCAACTAAAATCTTAGAACAAGCATTGTACAAATGGTAGAATTTAAACCAATCCTTTTCAAAAATCATTAAGACAAGATTGTTCTTACACAATGAACTGGTGGCTATAGACAGTTTAGTAAGATGAAGAAAATAATAAGAGTTTGAGAGGAAGACACTGAAATTCCACTGTTTGTATATTATCTATAAAGACATTCCCTTCAAACATCTTCAAATTACTCTTATTAATAATGAGGTTTAACAAAATTTCTAGGTATAAGATAAATTGAAAATCAGTTGATTTCTATAACCAAGCAACAAAGAGTAAATATAACTTTTATACAGGTGCTATTTACAATAGCAACAAAATATAAAAGGTGCTAGGAATAAATCTAACAAAATACATTTAAGAGCTCTGTAGAACAAATGTAGTCCTTCCCCCACCTCTTTTCACTTATTATTATACTAGAGGCCTGGTGCATGAAAATTCATGCACTTGGGTGGTCCCTCAGCTCAGCCTGTACCCTCTCGCAGACCAGGAGCCCTGGGGGAGTCTCCCCGAGGGGAGTGGGCCTAAGCCACGGTCTGGTCTCCCTCTGTGGGAGGTGATATGCGGGCCCATCAGGGGATGCAGCTGGCCGCCCCAATCGCCCCTTGGCCACCACCTCCTGATCATCCGTCTTGGCTGGCCTGGTGCTGGCCTCTTGCTGCCCCCCATCCCCAACCTGTTGTTCAGCTGTTTGGTCGATTTGCATTTTATTATATAGGATATTTTGAAATCCCCTAGTTAGATTGGGAAATGTGCCATATTAATGGGTAGAGGAACTCTATATTTTACAGATGTCCAATCTCCCCAAACATATTTTAACAAGGTGGTTTATTAAACTTGTTCAGCTGATTCTAAAACTTTTAAGAAATAGGATTACGAATATTCAAGATGCTCCTGAAGAAGAAGGTGAAGGAAATGTTTTACCAGACAGTGAGATTTGTTAACAACAAAACAAAACAAAAAACCAACAGTCCTGCCAGCATGGCTTAGTGGTTGAGCATTGACCTATGAACCAGGAGGTCTCAGTTCGATTCCCAATCGGGGCACATACCGGGGTTGTGGGCTTGATCCCAGTGTGAGATGTGCAGGAGGCAGCCAATCAATGATTCTCTCTCACCATTGATGTTTCTATCTCTCTCTCCCTCTCCCTTCCTCTCTGGACCCCCACTCCACCCCCCGCCGGCACACAAACACACACACACAATAAAATAAACACCACAGTAATTTACATAGTGTGGTACTGGCATAGCAATAAGCAATAACAGTGGGAAAAAGAGAGAGCACACTATTTACCAGTACTAACATGGAGACTTGCTGTATCAGAGATGTGGTAATTCAGACCCATGGAGAAAAGCCAAATATCCAAAACACGCTTCAGAAAAAAGAAGAAAAAAATGAAACCGAGCCCTTATTGTACACCATACACAAATGCAGGTTATTTAAAGCCAAGAAGAAAAAGTAAAAGAAATAAAGAAAATATAGAAATATGTATATGACTGTGACTTTAGGGGTAGAGAAAAATATTTTAATGAAACAAACAAGCAAAAAAAAAAAAGTACAAAACCCAAAGGGCAAGTTCGATAAACATGAATCCATTAAAATTTAGAATTGCTGCTCATTCAAAAGACAACACGAAGAAAATGAGGAGACAATGACAAGTCAGGGAAGTACATTTTTATAAAGTATCAATATGCAGAATATATAAATAATTCCTACAAATCAGTGAGAAAGACCAACAACCCAGAAATGAAATAGGCAAAAACTCGATATTCACTTTACAGAAGAGGAACTGCAAATGGCCAATAAACCCATGAAAAGATGATCACTCTCTTTAGTAACTGCAGGAAATAAAAGTTAAAACCACAATGAGATATTATTTTACAAACATATAAACACGAAAATTTAAAAGTTGATTACACCCTTCTGGTAGAATTTTAAATTTGTATACTCACTTTAAAAATATTTTTAAAATATGCACTAAAGTTAAAGATGGGCAGAATTAAGATAGCCTATTCTATTCCTGTGTCCAAAACATTGTGCATTAGAACATATATATATACACAAGTATATGTTAAATAGTGCTTAAATTGTTAAAAATTAATTGTTTAAATATACAGTTTTACAAGTGAGGTTAAAATAAAAATTTTAAAAGTAAAACAACTACAAATAACCTAAATTTCCATTGGCAAAAGTGAAAAATTGTTATATATTTATTACAGTTTAAATGAATGAACTGAAGTTACATGAATAGAGGCACACAGTGGATTAGTGGTCAACAGGATTGGGGAGAGCAGAGTCAGGAGTGAATTGCTAATGGGCACAGGTTTCTTTTTGGAGTAATAAAAATATTCCAGATTTAGATAGCGGTGATGATTTAACAACTCTGTTAGTATGCTAAAACCACTGACTTACACCTCTTTATGGCATACAAATTGTATCTCAATAAAATATGTAATGTTTAGTAAATAAAGCAAGTTGCAGAATAATACAAATAGTATAAAATGCTTAAATATAAGCATAATGCAGAAATATATTATTTTATTTACATACATATGTGATAAAATCTTAAAGACAATCAAAGAATAGTAAAACAACATTCAGGATAGTGATAAGTCCAGTCAATGGGCTTCAAAATATTGGTGATATTCTATTTTTCAGGTGTACAGATGAGTATAGTGATTTAAAATTATTTAAAATTGATATAAATGTTAAATATAACTATGTTGCATAATGTAAAAACTTTTTAAAGTAAACAAAACAAAATCCCATTAAATACCTGAGAGCAAAGTTGGAAGAGGATAAATGACATCTGCCTCTTAGAGTGTGAAATATAAAAGAGATCATAAGTTCCTAGTATATTACTTGACCAATAAGAAATTCAAAAATAGTAAGACAAGGTGTTGATACAGGGGTAGGTATAGTGGGAAGAAGCGAATAGGTTTGTGAGATAATTTGGATGGTTTGGGATTGGGAGTGATAACCATAGCAAGAATGACTTTTTAACTTGTGCAGTTTTTAACTTGCACAACTGACTGTCTGATGACATACCAAAATACAGCAGTGGGCAAAAGTAGGTTTACAGTCGTTCATATGGAAAATAATGCAATAATTAATAATATTACAAGAATAAACTCTGTGTTTCTCATACTCATAACTACAAACCTACCTTTGCCCCCACCTCTAATGTGTATTCAGTTCTGTTTAAATTTTTTAAGTTTTAAAAAATGTTTAACAATAGGAAATTAGCAATAACAAAACATGGGCAAGTATGAGAGTGGTTAAATGAATCATGGTACAATTGCATGGAGGCATGAGTGTGTAGCCATACAAAATCATGTTTTAAAAAACGGTTGACATTCAGAAATATAAAAACAGACTAATATCTGCATATGCAGTAGAGTTTCCATTTTCCATAATAATATATATGCATCTTATGCCCAGAAGTCCTCCAAGGGCTAACAATGGTTGCCTCTGGGTGATATAAAATTATAATTAATTTTTATTTATATGACTTTAATTTTATAACTAATTTTTAAATTATTACTGTTTAATATTCTACTCACTTTTTCATAGTCTAAAAATTTTCTACAATAAGCAATTAGTTCTTGAGATTATTTTTTTGAGCGGGAGAAAGGGAGAGAGCGAGAAAGAAAGAGAGAAACATCCATGTGTGAGAGATACATCAATCCATTGCCTCCACATGCACCCCACCCAGGATCAAACCAGCAACCTAGGTATGTGTCCTGACTGGGGATTGAAGCTGCAACCTTCTGGTGCACTAACTGAGCCACACTGGCCAGGGCAGCACTTATTTCTGCGATGATCAGAATATAGTACATGTGGTATGTTACATTATGGCTGAAATCATTGCCAGTGTCTTCAAGTGTATATTAAGACACTAAAGTTGTATAGTAGGTTGCAAAGCCACACGCGAAACTATGTGTGTGGTGCAAGATAGTGTGGGAAATCAATTGGAAAGAGAAATATATGTTTGTTGTGACATAATCATGTAGTTGAGGTTTAAAAGCCTCTTTCGGCAATCAAATTATAGCTTTCACTCAGACGTTTTTAACGCATGATCATAACGCCTTCTTTTCAAGTGCATCCCAGGTGATCCAAAGTGAGTGTTCAGCACAGCACCTTCTTGCACAAAACCACCTTAGGAAAGAAAACTTGTTAATTTATCAGAGACATTTTAAAAAATCTGGTGGGACCACAGGCACTACATGGTTTTTCTCTTCTCCTTAATTTGGGGATGTCAGGGCTTTGCATGTTTATCCTGGCCTTGCCAGTTTTTCTCTACCCTTTTTTTCTAGTCTCCTTCCCTCACTTCTTTTTGAAAGAACATATTTTGGAATAAATGTTATACTTTGGTTTGTCTAGTCATTACAGTAGGGAAACCATGGTGTTACTTGAACCTTCTCTTAGAGGTGATGTGCTTTATTCATGGCAGATTTTTTTAAAGTAAAATTCGCATTATATAAAATAACTATGTTAAATTATAACACACAGTGACATCTAGTACTTCCTCATGGTCACTTTTTTTTTTTTTTACATTTTAAGTGTTTATTTTTTTATGAGCAATTTTAGGTTCACAACAAAATTGAGAGGAATGTACAGAGATTTTCCCCAGGCCCACACATGCACAGCCTCCCTCCCCCCTTATTAACATCACTCACCAGGAAGGTAGAGTTGTTTGTGTGTTTGTTTGTTTGCTTTACCAAGGATGAACCTACATGACTCCTCCCTACCCCACAGGAAGAACCCCATGGCTGGAGCCCCTCTATTCAACCGTGACAGCTTTGCTGCACCTACCACCAATGCCAACACAAGCAACACAGAGAAAGTGGGTCTTGAGTGCTCCCACCAACACCAGGCTTCCCTTTCTGGCTACAGCTTAATGAGTATCTTCACGGACACTGTTAAAACGCAACCCGCCAGGCATCACACTTCTGCCCACAGCAGGAGCCCCTCCAGCCACCCACCTGCTCCCACAGGTTATCCTGACTGGTCCTTGCCTTTCAGCAAGCCCAATTTTCCTCCTGTATCCCTAGGAGGTTCTTTCAAGGGTCCCTTCCACTATAAACCTGGGTCTTGTCTGAAGCCCAGTTTCATCTGGGGGGCCCCAAATGCCCTTTGCTCCCTGAGGATGCTGCTAGTCCCGACCTTACCTTTCCTTGGAATTCAGTGCCTTTCTTGGTCCCCACTCTTCCTGTCAGTCCAGGACTTTCAACCCTTAATTGAAAGTACTTCCCTCAATAAGTGTCATCTCCAGAAACCTGGACATCTTTTGTGCCTTCTCTGGGCTGCATTCCAGCCTCCCCATCTCCACGAACACCTCACGGGAGGAAAATGAGCGCGTCTAGGTCAACGGCGGCTTCCAGGGGGCCAGACCCGCCTGCTGGACCACTCAGCATCACTGTCCACGGCCCGCTGACCCCTCCACCTCACTCCCTTCTGCTCATCCCCGGATTCCTCACCTGCTAGTTTTCTCCTGTTTCAGGGAAGGCTGCTTACAGAATGTTTTCCTTGGGGCACCCTTCCTCTCCCTGACTTTATTTTTTAAATAAACTTGTTATTGTTGATAGTATGACAGATATCTCCCCTCTCCCCCTTTGCTCCCATCCTCCCAGCCCCTACCCATGTCTTCACTACCCTATTGCTCCTGTCCATGGGCTATGCCTGAAAGTACCTAAGTTCTTTGGTTTATCTCTTCTCCTTTCCTCCACCCCACATCGAGGTATGTCCGTCTGTTCCATGCCTCCCTGCTGCAGGTCTTATTTTGTTGGTCAATTCATTCTTGCTCATTAGATTCCCTGACTTCAGAATGTTAATGTGGTCTGGGCACAATCCTGGTAGTCTTCTCTATCTCATCTCTCACATGAGATTTTTGCTAATACTGAAAACTCAAATGCAGCTGTATGCCCCTGACTCCCAAACTGATACCTCCGATCCAAACCTTTCCAATGGTCTACCTGACATCTCCTCTCGGATTGCGATATTTATGGTACACTTCCAGTGTCTAGATGCACTCTCTCAGTTCCCCCTCTGTACCCTCTCTCCTTGGCCAGTCTCCCCTCCCACATCAAAGGCGCTGCTGTGTGCACAGTTACTGTGCACAACTTTCAGGAGCCACTCCTGATTCTTCCCTTCTTCCTCATACTCAAACTCTCACCAAGGTCTACAGAGCTTTTAACAATTAAAACACATCTTTGAATATTTAATAGATTTCATAGATTCTTGCATTACAAAATTCAGAAAATCGAAAAAGTAACTTGGTGAAATGTGATTCCTTCCCGGTGTCCATCCCCTGCCCGTCCCAGGTCTACAGGGTTGCCAGCTTTGTGAGTATGCTTCCAAGGCGTGTATGCATGTACAGGCACACCGCTTTTTAAAAAAAACATAATGTATCACTCTACTATGCACACTGTTTTGTGATTTATATTCTCACCTTACACTGTATCCTCAAATATTATGAGTCAGCATAAATTAAGCTATCGCATTCATGTTATAGTTGCACAATATTCTGGTATGAATATATACACAGATAGATAGACAAATAGATAGATAGATAGATAGATAGATAGATAGATAATAGATAAATATATAGACATATGTAGATCTATATATATCTCTATCTCTACATATCTACATCTATATTTCTATATCTACATATCTATTTCTCTTTATCTATCTATTTATCTATTATCTATCTATCTATCTATCATCTATCTAAAATTTGACCAGTTCCAATTGCTGGCATTCAACTTGCTTCCATTTTTTTTGCTGTTCTAGACAAAACTGTAATGAAGATATCTCAATAATATTATTTCACATATGTGCATGAGTTTTTATTCTAAACAATAATTAGATAAATATTAATGTAAAGAAATCATCTTATGTATGCACACATCATTTCTAAAAGTTAAATTGTGGGCCAAGGAATGTCAGCATTTGTCATTTTGATAGATATAGTCCAATAGCCCTGCGTAGGTGCTATGTTGGTCTGTACCACCAGCAACCCCGTGTGGAAACCTTTCCCAACATTCTGGCAAATGAGCTGTGTTATCAAACTTCTCGATCTGTGCCCATCTGATAGGTGAACGATTGTGGCATTCTGTGGTTTAAATCTGCATTTATCTTATGAGAGAGGTTAAGCAAACTTACATTTGTTTAATACTTCTTGCATTTATTTTCATTATTGTGAACTTTATCTTTAGATCCTTCACCTACTTTATATGTCGTTTTGGCCTCTTTATTATTCTCTTACAGAAGCTTTTTAACATACAACCTTCCATTCAACAGACATCTGCCCACAGCAGAAGCTATCTCAAACCAACCACCTGCTCCCACAGGACTGTCCTAACTGGTCCTTGCCTTTCTTTATTTTATGTTTAATTTAATTTTGTTTTTTTAAGTTTTCAGTTGCAGTTGACATTCAATATATTAGTTTCAGGTGTACAACGTAGTGATTAGACATTTATATACCTTACAAAGTATTCGCCCCAAATAAGTCTAGGACTCATCTAACACCATGCATAGTTATTACAATATTGACTATATTCCCTAGTATTTACTTTACATCCTGTGACTATTTTCATACCTGCCAATTTGTACTTATTAGTTCCTTTCACCTTTTTCACCCATTCCCCCAGCCTCCCTTCCATCTAACCACCATCAATTTGTTCTCTGTATCTATGGGTTAGTTTCTGTTTTCTTTGTTTATTTTTACTTTGTTTTTTAGATTTCACACATAAGCAAAATCATATGGTATCGTCTTATTCTATTCTGACAATTTTCAACAACACAATGGACCTAGAGAGTATTATGCTTTTTCCTCCTTTATTTCCCAAACACTTCCAACAGGTTCTTTCAAGTGTCCATTTCACAGCAAACCTTTTAAATACATACATACATACATACATGTATACACACATACATACATATATACACACATACATAATTAGCACTTCATCTGTGACACTAGCTGTAATTTCTTCCAGTTTACTATCTACACTTTGACTTTGTTTTTACTGTATCTTTCCTCACAGAATTCTTTTTCAAAAAGTCACATCTTTCAATAGTTCTTTCATTTTCTCCTAAATTTTATGGTTTCTTGTTTTAATATTTAAAACTTTGATTCATCTGACATTTTATAGAAGACCAGGGACCCAACTTTATTGTGTCTTCAGACTTATTTTCCAGTATGCCAAACCCATGGTCTATCTTCTCCCAAATGAAATAAAATTTATAATACACAAATCTCCCCTATGCAGTTGGACCTATTTCTGAACTTCGCACAATTAGCCCTTTGAATTGGCTATCTGCCTATAGGTTCTTTCTCTCCCATTAAACTGCGAACTTCCTCCGGGTACTGTGGGGTCTGAGATTTCATTTCACATTTTTTTACAAACTGATGGGTCAGCCTGCTGCTATGACAGGCATGCTGACGGAGGACATGAGCTTCTCAGATCTGAGATTTCTGGCCAGAAACTTGCTTCTGTTCCTCTTGCTCCCCTCTCCCCAAGCACGATGAAGGTGACACGGAGAGGCCCAATGGACACTACCCCTGCAGGGGCATTTTCACAGCTGACACACTGGGCTTGAGGCATCCACCTTTTTTTGTAGCAGGAAATAAGTAAGCCAGCTGCTTGACCTGGAGGGAGCCATCATTTTATGGGCTAAGGTGATTGGCTGTAAAAGCAATCCCTAGAGGTGGCTTGAATAGATTAAAGGGAGGCCAGGGACATGCAAATTTCACTTGCCCAGCGAAAGGTTGGGGAAATGGAAGACTTCCCTAACAGCTGAAACAGGTGGAAGGGTTGTTGTAGGCTTGCATTTTGGTGTCCACAGGACCACACACACAGTGTTTAACACAAAGTAGATGCTTGAAACATATTGACACATTTAAAAGAATCCAATATTCCATGGGGTTAATATGAATTTACCAGACTACGTAATTGGGAACCTCACTTTTATTCCATACTAAGCAGATAATTCCTTGTACTCTAGACCTAGGCAGAATCAATAGTATAAAACATTAGCTTTAAAAAAATTAACCTAAAAATAGACTAAATAGAATTACTGATGTTTGACTAATTAAAACTAATTTCCATGAAACGAAATTTAGAGACTTTATTTACAATTTCATTCCCTGCCAAGTACTCAGCTGATAACCTTGAAAGCACGCCCTGAGTTTAAGCACCCTTAATAGCTTTTAAATGGATATGTCTTATTTATAAAACGGGCGCTTGGTTATAACCATTAAAATGTTGCAATTATGCATTATTATGTTTGAAACTGTAATCCAATCATGATTGGGGATACTATCCAGAAAACAAACTCAGGGAGACTAAAAAGGGTTTTCCCCTCCTACGAAATTAGTTAGGATGCAAACACCATGTAGAAGAGAGAAAAGTGAACTTGTTTAAGAACTTTTGAAAAAAGAACCAATGGGAAATTACCAGTGAGACACCAATAGCAAATAGTTTCATTATATTTAAGGAGCATTTGGAAGTGAGTGGCAGGGACTTCAGTATCATTACAAATGGAGTTGTTACTCTTTAACTGAACACTGAATAATGGGGCAGCCACGCTGATGCCTCTGTGGGGCATGCTGAGGATGCCTAACAGCAAGGTGGCTGTGGGAGACACCACAGGAAGCTGCAGGATCGGGGTCACTTGCAAACCAATGAGGATATTATCTGCTCAATATCTAACATCAATCAAATAAAATAACCTTTAAAATAACATAAATTTTAAAGTTGTCCCACTTTATCTTTTACTTTATTCCCTTTCTTTTAAGTGCAAACAAAATTTTAATTAAAATTTAGTTCTATTTAGTCA